TCTCGGTCAAGAGTATCGATTCTATTGATATCCTCATACATAGGCTTCCTCATGGCTTGCGAGAATGAGAAAGAAATTTTCTCATCTCCCACATTCAATGTTAGCTTGCCTTGTTTCATATCAATTACCACTCCCGCCGTGTTCAAGAACGGCCTTCCCAAAATGAGAGGAACCTTGTTGTCCTCCTCCATTTCCATCACCACAAAGTCACAAGGTACAAAAACTCTTCCCACTTGTACCGGTACATCTTCAAGTATTCCCATTGGTAATCTAACCGAACGATCGGCTAATTGTATTGAGATTCTTGTTGGCTTCATCTCACCAACTTTTAAATTTTTCGCAATTGAGAAGGGAATCAAGCTTACACTTGCCCCAAGATCACAAAGAGCATCCATGGCTTCCATATCTCCAATCTTCACCGGAATTGCATAGCTACCCGGGTCACCAAGCTTTCGGGGAAGCTTGTTTTGAATGATTGCGCTCACCTCCATTGGAAGGGAGATGGTTGCACTCTCTTCAAGCCTACTTTTGTTGGACAAGAGATCTTTTAAAAATTTCGCATATGTAGGCATTTGTGACATAGCATGAAGAAAGGGAATGTTCACTTGGAGCCCTCTCATGACCTCAAGGAACTTTGAAAACTTCTCATTCAATTTTTTCTCTACCAACCTATGAAGGAAAGGAATAGGTGGCTTGTAGACTCTCATTGGGGGTTTCTCCATTTCAACTTCAACTCCCTCTCCTTTCTTTGTGTCTCCCTCAACACTCTTTTCTTTTTCTTTTCTCTCAACTTCTACCACCTCATTTTCAACATCATTCTCACTTCTCACCTCCACACCCTCATCTCTCTTTTGTGGCACATCTTCACTCATTACCGGACCTTCATACCCTCTCCCGGACCTCAATGTGATAGCCTTGACATGCTCCTTTGGGTTCACAACCGTTGAGCTTGGAAATTGACCACTAGCATTGGAGGTAGAACTCCCAACTTGTTGTGCAATTTGAGCTAGTTGATTCTCAATTATTTTGTTGTGCGCTTGAAGTTGTTGGATGTTGGAGCTCATTTCTGCATTGCTCTTCCCTTGTTGATTTATGAAAGACTCAAGAGCGGCCTCAAGGGAAGTCTTTTGGGGTGGAGGAGGTTGTTGGTTGAATTGCTGTCTTTGTTGGTTTGGATGGCGGTATGGGGCTTGGTGATTTTGTTGATTTTGGTTGTAGATGTTTTGAGGAGGGTTGTTGTAGTTGGATTGTTGGTTTTGATTGGGTTGTCTCCACCCTTGGTTTTGTTGCCTCCAACCTTGATTGAAAGGTTGCTCATTTCTTTGGTTCATGGCCGCAACTTGCTCATTAGTAGCATTGCAATATGAAGCCATGTAATCATTACCCCCACAAGTCTCACAAGACATGACTTGTGGTTGTGGTTGTGAAGAGGAGGTACCGCTTGAGGAGGTTGCTTGGTCTAGCTTGTGAGCTAGCATATCAAACTTTGAGGCAATGAGATCTATTGCACTCAACTCATGCATACCTTTCTTCTTCGGTTGACTTTCTCTTCTATCATATCTATAGGCGTAATGCCTTGCAACTTCTTCAATCATATTCTCGGCTTCTTCCACCGGTAGCTTTTTAAGACTACCACCGGCTCCGTTGTCAAGATTGGCCCTTGAGGTAGGAGTGAGACCGTCGTAGAAGCTTAGAATAATCATCCATAAAGGCAACCCATGGTGTGGACACTTCCTCTTTAGATCCTTGAATCTTTCCCATGCTTCACCTAAGGTTTCATCATCCTCTTGAGTGAAGCTTGTAATCTTCCTTCTCAATTCCGCGGTCTTTTCGGGCGGACAAAACTTCCCAAGAAATGCTTTGGTAACCTCTTCCCATGTTGTTAAGGATCCTTCTTTCACGGACCTCAACCAACACTTAGCCTTGTCCCTAAGAGAGAACCGAAACATATGCATCCAAATGAATTCCTCCGTGAGGTTGTTTTGCTTGATGGTAGTGCACAACTCAAGGAAGTTGTCTAAATGAGCTAGAGGGCACTCATTTGCACTCCCCCCGAACTGTTCACTTTGGATCATCCTTATGAGTTGAGGAGAGAACTCATAGTTGTTTGCATTGGTGGTGGGAAGAAGTATGCCACTCCGAAGTTGGAATGCATCGGGGTGGTCATAGTCTTGTAGAAGTGGAGGAGGCGGTGGGTTGGCCATCTCTTGCTCGTTGTCAAGATTATCCTCCGACTCGGAATCCGTATAAGCTAGAGAAAATTCCGGCGTGCCTTGTAGGAGCCTTCTTACGTTCCTCAAAGTTCTATTTAACTCCGGATCTACTGGGATAAGCGGTGATTGCTTACTCCTCCGTGTCATGCACAGTCAAACAAAGCTAAGGAAAACGTTAGCAATGACTATCACAAAGTAAACACGCTTAAACAAAAACAAAATAAGAAGATTATATACATATACACAAATCTAGACTCATTCAACAATAACTTATTCAATGTGACTTTGCCTCCCCGGCAACGGCGCCAAAACTTGGTAGGACGTCGTCAACCTATCAAGAAATAAGACCTAACTCGATCCTACTCAACTAGTAGCAAGGGCAAGAAAGGGTCGAACCCATGAGAGGCGTTGAATCAACCACCAAATGTTATTGTTTAAACAAGCTAGATTAAGTCGGGGGTTTTAAGTTGGTATTACGTCACACTATTCTAATTCAAATCAACTAATTCTAAGAGGTGATTAACAATATTAAGAAGGCCTAGGGCATGGGTTACACCACTCAACTTCATCACGGACCACAAGTAGCATGCATAGAAATGGTGATTTAGGGGATAAATTAGGGGAAGTTATCAAATGCACCCAACTACTCTCTCAAGCTAGAGGGATTACTTGACATCAAAACCATAACCTACTCTCGTGATTATGGGCAAGAAACAAGTGTTAAAACATCCTCACGATAACATGCAAATTCCCTTGACTAGAAATTCCTATTCTCATGGCAAATCAAGTCAATCAAGCATAAGGGAGCTTCCTCAAGTTCATCTCTCGATCCTTCGTTGAGGAAGCTAGATAAATAATTCAAGCAATGGCCAATTACAAGAATTAACAATGAAACCTCTTAAGCTCAACTAATTAACACCCCACAATTAACAAATTAGTACATGCAACAAGTGTTGGTGATTACATTGAGGGTTCACCCAAACCCTAGAAATTAGACTACTCACAATCCATGGAAGTTAAAGCAATTAAAGATTTCAAGGAATTCATGAACAAATTAAAACTAAGAATTAAGTAAAATCTAACAATTAAACATGCAAAGAACAACCAAACAATTAATAAAAATCAAGAACTAAAGATAGAAGAGAGAAAGAAAGAGTAAGAAAAATTACTAGAAGCTTCAATAATTGACTAACAATGGTGGAACTTGTCTTCTACAATGATTGGATTGGAAAACCTTCAAAACAAGAACTAAAATCTATGCTAATTTGAGGATTTTTGTGTTTCAAAACCAAGAGGAGTATGAAAATCTGGAAAAATTGGGAACCCCCCTAAAATGGTCCAAAGGGGCTATTTATATTACCCCCTAAAATAAGAGGACGGTGAAAACAAGAAACGGGTAAACTGTAGGTCTGCACGGACGTGCTGAAGTTGGCACGTCCGTGCAGATCAAGGCAGAAACTCAGTTTAAGACGACCTGCTGCAGCACGGGCGTGCACCTTTGGCACGTCCGTGCTGCATCATCTGCACGGACGTGCAAAATTTGGCACGTCCGTGCAGGCCTTGGCAGAAAGATGGCTTCAGGTCTGCACTCCTGCACGGACGTGCAACATCTTGCACGGCCGTGCAGGGTCTTCTGGGCCCTTTTCTTCGTGTTTTCTTCTACGATGCTCTTGTACTTGGATTCTTTCCATCATTTCCTTGCTTCTAACCTCGGTTTGGTAACCATGGGCTTTATTTGGTCGTCTTTGGACCTAAAATCTCAACAAAAATACTAACAACCCGTGAAGCATAAGATACACAAAAATTGCATAATAATAGGGTAAAAGTGAACCAAAACACAAATTTGTTCAGGTAAACTAGGTTCAAATACGCCCTAAAACCGCATAAAATAGCAAGTTATCAGTATTTTTACCCCAAACACTAACATTTTTATTTCTTTGAAAATTTCAGTACATGAATGAGAATCAAAGACATGGTGGGACTTGATGAACCTGATCTACTTCATTACTTAAATAGTACTACAACAACCAAGGTAACTATTAAAAATAAAATTACAGCACTCTGAATATTACATTTCTTCTTAATTTCAGTAGTTTCTTCTTCCAATTCCATATTCCTCTTCAGCATGATGATAAATTCATATGCAATTTCTGGTTCATGTTGGTTGTCAATCCGTCTATAAAAATTACAGCCATCAATTTGGTTGTATTTGGGACAAATCAGAAATCTCATGAATGGATGTATGACAGTCCTTGATACTCTTTGTACAGGCCTTCTATTGCAATGATAGAAAATATTCGATCTTTCCATAACCTGTTTTGGTTTATGTTGTTCTTGCAGGATTAAAAAAATAAAAAAAATTGAAGGTTGTGCTACTGGATTTGTTGTGAAATGATGAAGCTTTGCAATGGAAGTTTGGACGAGTTGTTTTGTGATTATCTTCTCTTTCTGTTAGAAAGTGGGATAAATACATTTTGTAATTTAAACCCAAATGACTAGTTTTTTTCGAAAAAAACAAATTTCATAAATAATTCCAAACTTATTTATGACAGGTGATTATGTTTTTTGGGAGGTGATTAAGTTTTGGTGTGGTTAAAGGTGAGTTAAATATAATTCAGGTGATTTAATTTGCCGGAAAGTTGACCTCCATCACCAAAATACAATACAAAAAAAATTTGATCACTAAAAAGTGAAAACGGTGAAAACTTGATCACCAAATGTTATCCTAAGTCCAATAATATCGAATGGGGGCAATTTTGTTTAGAATATTGTTTTTAGCTTATTAAAAGAGAAATAACGGGGGAAGACGCAAGAGACAGCGCATATTATTATTGTGGGTTACTTGCAGTTAGAGGATCGAATAGCGCGAAACCCTCCATCCATATCTCCCACAAAGGCGGCAGCAGCGGCAGCAACTCACTCACATTTCAGCAGGCAGCAGCAATGGAGAATAAGCCCAGAATGTTCGACAACTTTATGACGCTTTTTCAGCGCCGGATTTCCAGTCCTCGTTCTCCTTCCTCCTCCGATGCTCCCAATCCTATTCCCTTTCTCTCTCCTATTGCTAATTCTGTTGTCGCTCGATGTTCCAAGTAAATTATCTTACCCCTCCTTTTTTTTATTTTTATTATTATTGATTTTGATTTCTTATTATCAATGTAAACTCAAATTGCTCTCGATTTTTGCTTATATTAATTTTGATTTTGTTGATTGCTATTTATGTTCAAACTAACAACTAATAACTGTATTTTATTTTTTTTAAAAAAAATAAAAATTGTAGAGTAATTTAATTACTATTGATTAGACCTGCATTTAGTGGACTTTAGGTTGTTAAGTGCCATTTTATGATACTACTAGCTATTTTCCCCAATTATGGAGGATTCGCCTTGTTGGATTGGTCCTGATCAGATAAATTGCTACTACGCCGTATTTGTGTACAGGATTTTGAATATGTCTACGGAAGATTTGTGCAGTTGTTTCGACGTAGAGACCGGTGAAAGTGGCAACAAACCAATCACGTATGCTAGACATTTGTTAGAATTTTGCTGCTACAGGGCATTTAATGTTTTGACCGCTCGTGCTGATTATTTGAGCGATAAGGAATTCCGTCGTTTGACATATGACATGATGCTTGCGTGGGAGGCTCCCGGTGTTGATGGTGAAACTTTATACAAAGTGAGACAGCAAATTGCTTGTTGATCTTTGTAAGATACCTTGGTATTATAAGTAGCATTTGTCAAGGAATTTGCATGATGGTTAATATTTTTGATGCACAAAAACTTAGTGTTTGCCTTCACCATCTGGACTTACCAACCTTGTTATGTGGTAACCTTGCAGGAAAGCGCTTCTCCCAGTAGGATGCAGAGCGAAGATGATGATGGATGGTCTTTATTTTATTCAAGCTCTACTGCGACGGCTGTTCAGGTCATTCACATGGTTTCATGCCCTAAGGAGTTTGTCAATTATTGTCTATTTAATTGCTTTATGCTCGAATGGTATTTGATACTTTTTTGGCAGTTCTTTTGGTTTTTGTATTCATTTTTGTTGTCTTGTTAATCGATAGGTTGATAATGAGAACACTGTTGGCCCTGAAGCCTTCGCACGAATAGCTCCTGCTTGTGCAGTTATCGCTGATGTAGCAACTGTACAAAATCTTTTTGATGCACTGACAATCACTTCTGGAAATAGACTTCATTTTCTCATTTATGATAAGTACCTTCAGAGCCTTGATAGGTGTGTTTCCGGATCTTAAACTGGTTGACATCTGCAAGTCATCAATAGTTTTTATGTTTTCTACAAAGTATTATTTGTAAATAAGTAAAGTGATTCCTTTTTTTTTTTGGTATTTTTTGAGCTCAATATAACATGCTAATTATTATTTACAATAACTACTTATTCATAACTATATGGTGTTGTCACTTATTTACATGTAACTATAATTATTAGGTTACCTTTGTTAAAGCTAACTTGTTTTTACCTTGTTTATACCCTCTTTGTTAAGTTATAATAGTATACAAAGTGTTTTTTGTTACCACATATGTGCATGCACGCTCCTATTTTGGTTTGAGAGGTTGAGTCTGAGAAAATATGTTGTTTTTGGGTCATATTTTGCTTATGAAAAGCTTAGGTGCCATCCTAGATATTCTGTTTGTGTTGTTGAGTTGAAGCCTGAAGGAGTTCCAAAAGGAAAAATTAAAGCTCTTCTGACTTAGTAGTTGATCTGATTCCCTAAGGTGAGTTCTATGATTTAAACTTTGGATCGCATCTCCTATAGGTGCTTGGAAGATGGCTTCTCCGCCTAAACCATCTATCATAACCAATTATTATATTGGTCTAAGCCCTGGGTGCTATATACTATATCTCATTTTTGTTCAGTTATGCCGCTACTTTTAGTGGCTCCCCCTCCTGTCATATCAAAGATGGCACTTTTTCATCCCACAGTGGTTGCCTCTTGTTCACAGATCCAACTTTCTCTACAGGGACATGTTGTGCTTGTTAGTGATTGTAGAATTTTTTTTGTATCTGGTAAACTGATAAATCTTTCAGAATAGTTTAAGATTTCAAAGATAAAATGAATGGATATGTCCAGTGGATAATCTGTGAGATGCTAGAAAGAGACTAGTTATTTGGTAAGGAGTGTTTTTAATATGTTTTGTTTTACTCTTAATGTTGACCATCTTGCGTGAGGCACCATTTGATCCTCTAAATTGTGATACCTTTTAATATTCTAAATATTCGTACTTAAACAAGCTTTGGGGTCCTATCCATCTCTCGATTTTATTCAACATGAGGAAACTTTGATGAATTTCTTGTTTGTTAGATTTGTGATCTAGTGTAGTTCATTGCTGCTTATGCATGATGTACTGTAGAATTTTTTGTCAGGGTTGATGGTTTGTATTTCTTTTATCCTTGCTGGTGCAGGAAAACGAATGGAACTTCTCTTGATAAGGAACTTTGTTGGTGATCTATCTTTTGCAGGGTGATCAGGAGCGCAAAAAATGTGTCATCGGTTTCATCAAATCTTGAAATTGTTGATGGGGAGATCATTGTAGATGTTGACGGTACTGTCCCTACCCAGCCAATTCTCCAGCATATTGGAATCTCCGCATGGCCTGGTAAGTCATTTCCTTCCTGGGAAACATACTGTATTATTTGAGTTAGATGATCTTTACATGATTAATTTAAGACTTGTTTATTTAGAATTAGGGTTGAGAATTTTATTTAGTTAACAGAATGTCAAGTTTATAGATTAACCATCAGTGGTCATTAGTCTTCTTTTTCAAAGGAGGATATCTATATGAGATTGACTACTCCCTCTGTGTTTTTTTAAGTGTTGCACTTACCAAATGTGATCATGTTTTTGTAAGTGTTACACCTCCTTTTTTGTTGGCAAAAAGCAAGTACATTTTAAATTATATCTCTCTCTTCTCTCATGTTCCCCACCCAAACTCACAACTACTTTTTTATTTCATTTTATTTATTTTTATTATTTCTTTCCTCTCACATTGATTATTTTAACTATTAACCTCACTATCTTTCTCTTACAATTTTGTAAAACTCCTACTACCTCACTATCCTCTTATTTTATTTAAGTCACTTAAATTGCCTAAAACTATGTGCCATTAGAGTGTAACACTTAAAAAAACACGGAGGGAGTATCTTGTATTAGTGGAAATTGGGATAGTTGGAATTAGTGGAAGATCTCATGGGTGTTGGGTAACCCGCAAAGCATTATAAATAATAAATTCTACAACAAAAACAAACACAACATATATATATATATATATATATATAGGGATCCGGTGAGAATAGGTACATATGTGAGATTTCATACTTATATGAGAACTGTTCTAAAATTTAGAACATGTGAGTAATAATTTAGAACATCTAATTTACGAATTAGAACATGTGAGTAAAAATTTAGAAAATCTGCTTTATGAAATTTAGAACATATAAGTAAAATTTAGAACATCTAATTTAAAATTTAGAACACGTGGTATAAAATATAGAAAATGTGAGTAAAAATTAAGAACATACGAGTATAAATTGGAATATATGCTTTCAAATCTAGAACATATAGCTAAAAATCTTAGAACATACGTTTTAAAATTTAGAACATATAAGTTAACTAATTTATGGTTTAGAACATGTGAGTACTAATTTAGAGCATCAGATTTAAAATTTAGAATATATGAGTAAAAATTTAGAACGTAAAAAGTATTCTCACATAAGATGAGTTCTCATATAAGAAGAGTTCTCACATAAAGAAGGGGGTTCTCTTGAGAGCCATATATATATATATATATGACACGTCCACAATGTGAATTTTCTCCCTCCACTTTGCTCTATTGAACACCTTATTTTCAACAATCCTCAAAGTACACGATAAAAATTTAAATTCTATTGCAAATAAAACCTTTTATATACATGACTTTATGAGTTACAAATTTTCTAATCAATTAATTAACATCCATAGTAATTTTGTAAATTGATTGGAATTTTGTATTTTACCTTCCCAAAAAGCACACCTTTTGATTTAACCACCTTTTTTCGTTTATTTTAAAATATACTACCTACAAAAACGTAAAAGAATATATATATATATATATATATACATATATATATATATATATGTATATATATATATATGTATATATATATATATGTATATATATATATATATATATATATATATATATATATATATATATATATATATATATATTTCACCACTGCTTAACGGTTTATGTAACCATTAAGTTTCATTTTATTTAAAAAAAAAAATCATCAATCTTTGAGCCGAAACTTGCTTTGTTAAGGTTTTGGGGTCATTTTGGTTTTTTAGGGTTCGATTTGAGGTCAAAATTGACAAAAAATATTGGAAATGTCTCGTTTTATGTGCTAAAATTACTTAGGTTTGCGTGATACACAAAAGAGATATTTTCGATAATTTTTTGTTAGTATTGACCTTAAATCGGATCCTAAAGGGCCAAAATGACCCTAGAACATGATAATAGGTGATTTTTTTCATTAATTAAAATATAAAAATGGAACTTTGATACCTTTTGACAATTTTTGGTGTTTATTGATAAATTTTGTTATATTTGGTGATTTTTATGTTTCACTTATTGAAACGGATTTTAGTGACGGTATTTATTGAAACCAAGCACTGTAAAATGCTAAGTAGAGGAAGTGTGGAAACAAAGTGAAAGAAGATACTTTTAGGAATAACAAAATTAAAGATACCTTTGGGGTAATAATGGCAAACAGTTAGTTTATATGGTTAATGGTTAATTGTGCAGGAAACGTGTTCAAAAGTCTCATCGACTGACCTCTTCTTTCTTAGCTTTTGAGTCTCCAACTCCTAGAAGGTTTTAAAGTGAATTTTTTGTAAAGGTCAATTACACTGTTAATTGAAAAGGCTGTAATTGTTAAATTCACCTACATAAAAGGTTGTAACCGACAATTTTTACTTTATAATAAGGTGGATTTTGATTAGATTATAAACATCTTTTAACCATACTTTACTAATTAGTAAATAACCAGTAAGATGTTTCAAAAGGATTTCTTTAATTTTTTTTTTATATATAATTTTTTTTTTATGACGGATTATATAAATATAAAAGTATTACAAACTACGAGCCTAACTAGCTCCTTTTTTACAAAGAGAACATAATAAATTAAAATACATCTTTCGTGTTTGATCTTGCTGGTTTGAATAATCAGCCATTTGCCTTCAAGCATGTGACGAGGTATACAACATTCTATTTCTGTATCCTACTGTCCTTTGAACTTGAAGAATGCATAGGAGGATGACGAACAAACAAATTCTGGCATACATTTTAACGAGCTGGAAAGGACATCAAGTGCTTATTCCCTTAGTCCCCCAAAATTGACATTGACACGGTCACTTTGCACACATGCTGATGCACTAGTTTGACTTTCTTTTTATATAATTTAATATTAATGAAAATTATTTTAAAAATTATGTAATGAAACTTCATATATATACGTATCTAACAACATATTTAATGATAAAATATGTTTTTATTATGTTAGTAAAAAATTATGGTCAAAACCAATATTTGAATAGTGAAAAAGTCCAACGTCCCATTCAAGTGAACCAAGTAAATGAGGCGGGAAAACAAAGTGGTCGGCGCTTAACATCACAAATTGAATCACCCATTCAAGTGATTCGATACCCTTTACTGCGGGTACTATTGATCCCTTCTCTAAAGAAGAGACCATTGACATACTATAAACCCCCAAAGTTGTCTTTCGAAGGCCCCCAAACATCTCATTTTGGGAAGCAGTGTTAAAATTGGTATTTTCAAAGCAATAGAGAAAATCCATAACTAAGCTAAAACAAAGGACTTTTAGGGATAACCTTGCATGTATGCTACCTAACGTTTTTTATTTATTTAAATATATTAGGTATCTTATCCCATTAGTGGAATTTGTTAAATGTTAATGGAGATTTGAAGTGTGAAAAGAGTATATTCCGCAATGAATTATGTGAAGAAAAAGCTGTATAATATGGGTGATTGAAGGAATATTTGTCACTTGTAGCCTTTTGTATAGGCCATTTTAGCAATTACTACCTTTTTAGATAATAAATAAAATCAAATTGGATTTTACAACTCTGCATTCACGTTTTCATCAAATTTGATACCTTTTGCACCTTTTGATGTCTTGAAAAGTCGTCATAAATGTTAATCCTACATTTTTACCACATTATTCCATTTGATTGAATTATTGGTTAAATTAAAACTTAAGTCAAAATTTAAAAAGTCATGATGAATTTCGTAAACGTATCAAATAATCAAATTTAAATGAAAGTTGCTATTTAGGCTGTACATACATATTTATTTATTTTTAATATAGAAAAGGCTGTAATTTCATGGTAGTCTATACAGAAGGTTGTAAGTGACAATTCAGATTTTAATGAATTATATATTAGTAACATTCATATAGAGAGACCTTTTTATTTTTCTCAACTTTCAAGTGTGTTATTAATTATTAACACTTGCTGGGTACTTTCCTTGAATAATGTAATCCCGTCCCCTTATAATCGTCGTAATTAATTGTTGATTGAGTTTTGACAATGGGCTTTGTGGTATTTAATAAGTTGATTTATCTTATCTGTGTTCATTTTTAAAATCTGATCCTCTGCTTGATATTTTTGCAGAACACCTTCACTTTGTCCTTTTTTTGTGTGCATTGGAGGTGTATGCATGGTTAGGGAATGTGTTTTGTGTATGTGTTTAGTGCATGTGAGTGCGTTGTGTCAGGTGTATCTGGTCCTGTGCTTGGCCTGTTTGCTATGATATGTATGGTTTCATTTCAGCCTAAAGTACCCATGTTGGGTATTGACTAATAGCTTTTATGATAATTCATATTGGTCTGCAAAAAAAATTGTCTTGAAAAGTGGAGTATTATTTTGGACTTGTATTTGTGTTTGATATGTGTTGCTAGCTTGCCACTAGCCAAGTCCATGTAAACATTGTGTGTTTCCGTGAACAAGAAGGGTTGTGGGAGGAATAGCAAAGACATCAATATTATTTACATTCATTTATGCTTATTTGCTCTGGTAATGGCGCCATGGGATTGCTGTGGAAGTTAATATAATAACAAAACACCCTGGCTCACTCCACCTGTGCGTCAGGGCAACATGACAGTCCTATCTGTGTCACTGTAGATTCTCTCCTAGCTTATTCTCATGATATTTTTTATCGTCAATTTTTTTCTACACATTTTTTTGGGCTTCAATTTTTTTTGTTCTTTCTTACAGGTAGGTTGACCCTAAGCAGTAAAGCTTTGTATTTTGAGTCATTGGGAGTGGGGCAGTATGATAAAGCTGCACGATATGATCTTTCTACGGATTTGAAGCAGGTCATTAAGCCTGAATTGACTGGGCCACTTGGTGCTCGGCTGTTTGACAAAGCTGTGATGTATCGATCAGTAACACTGTATGTATTTTTAGGTGTTAATATTTGAATTAGACCTCCATAGTGTTATACACTTTTACAATTTACATAGCCAAGTCTGTGTTTTTATGTAGTAATGTAAAGTTATACGAAATATAATGTTATAGAGTATATCCTACATTCAGCTGCTAACTTTTTTCATTTACAGAGCAGAGCCCATATTCCTGGAGTTCCCTGAATTCAAAGGAAGTTCACGGCGGGACTACTGGTTGGATGTCACTCTGGAGATATTGCTTGCTCACAGATTTGTCAGGAAATATCATCTAAAGGGAATCCAGGAATCCGAAGCAGTTTCTAGGGCTATTCTCGGCATATTTCGGTGTCGTGCAGTAAGAGAGGGTTTCTATTTTTTCTCATCACAATATAAAACATTGCTTCTATTTAACCTTGCCGAGAATCTTCCTGGTGGAGATACAATTTTAGAAACTCTATCAAGTTGTTTAGCGCTTTTGAGAACGAGTAGTAATCAAGCAGATTCATATTCATCTGGGAGTGTTAGTACAGAGAAACAGCATATGGTATACCCAGTTTCGCTTCTAGCACTAAGAAGATTTGGATTAATTCTTCAGGAAGATGTAGAATTTGATGAGGAAGCCACATATGGTAGCGGATATATACATGTGGGTGAAGTAGATCTTTTGGAAGCAGCAGTAAAACAATCAAAAGTGGATACAGGGAAGGCTGTAGCAGCACAGGAGACTGTCAACCAAGTTAAAGTAGACGGGATTGATGCAAATATAGCAATCATGAAGGTAATTGAATGTTTGAATATTTTGTATCTTTTGGTTCTTCTTTAACTATCTCTCTGCAGGATCGAAGAGCTGAAGAAGTTTTTTGTTGTTGAGATTTGAGTGACATTATAGTTTCTAAATCCTATCTTTATGCCTAAGAAATACTTGAAATTATGACATTGTGACCAAGTGAAATTTACATGCTTTTAACTCCTATTATACTACTGGTGCAGTTTTAGTTAGTCTGTTGATGTATAGGATATAAACGTGTTTTTAAAATTACTTATCTCCTTAACTTTGGAAGTAGTTTCTCTGTTGCTCTTGATTGGTCAGAGGTAAGGGGTTCTTGAGTTTGTTACCACCGAAAATCACTAACTTGAATTTCATTTTTCACACTATCTTTACAGTTGAACCACCAGCATCCTCTTAGTAAAAAAACTTCCAAAATTGTCAAGAGAAATGTGTGGACTAAGCTGATGAACCTGCCAAAGGCCCCAATTAATCAAGTATATGTGAGTTGCAACTTGCAACAAGGGTGCTTTGGACAAACCATCTTGAGTTGTTTACAAGAACAGAGTGACGTGGGAAAAAGTTGGTTACAAGAGAGAAATTTATTAGGATATATGTAAAATTGATTAGGGAAGTGAGCGTATTCATTTTACAGTAGCCTTTTATTAAAGTGTGTTGATATATTTCCTAGTATACATGATAAGTCACCCAATTCTATATTTTTTTTTCCTTTTGCTTTTGATTATACGTCATAAACTTTGACATTACCCTTATGTCTGTAAAGACTAAAGAGGAGTGGACATAAGCTTTTTTTTTTTTTTTTTTTTTTTTTTTTAATTTACCTAAATTGGCTTTTCATTTAAAATCTAATGGAGGTATGCTTCTTTAGTATACAATAGCACTCATGTAAGCCAAAACATTAAGAAGCACTAATAGTTTATTCAGACATTTTGATCCAGTCCATCATAATCTAAACTTTAAAAAAAAAAATGAATCACTTGGCTAGTGGGCTGCATTGATAATGATGAATTACTTTATATGACTTGATCTAGAAAGTATGGCTTTTTTTCAGCTTGAAATTTTGTGCATTTATGTATGGGGGACTCATCTCTATATTGCTCTTGATGTATCCTCTATCATGGACTCATGGTTAAATTTGCATAGTAATTTGTTCGTTTGTCTTTTGCATCGATCCTTCTTCCCTAATCAAGCAAGCTAGTGATAGATTTGATCCTTCTGCCAGGAGTTGCTTTTTCCACTGATTGTACTAGCTAGGCGTGTTCAATTTTTGGCTTCGTGGGAGGAACCTTTCAAATCATCAGTATTCCTGGTGCTAATGTGCTACTTGTTTGTGAGGTACTCTTGATCTTACTAGAGCTCTACAAGATTGAAATCATTGAATGCTTTTTTTCGTTCTCGTAATTTTTGGAATGCTTGTTTTTAAATCTCCTTATTTTTTTGATTAGTTGGATAATAAATGTAATATATTTAGCTATATTTCTTTTAAGCAGAAATGGGCTCTAAAAGTGTTTGGAACTTGGTTTTGGTATCCATATGTGAGAGATAAGCAAGCTTCAAGACATGCCAAATAAAGTTAGAGACTTAGAGTCGGGTTTTAAGAGCCTTTTTCAGATTTGAAATCTTGAATTCACACCTTTCATGATGATTGTCATACTCATAATGTGTTAGAACCTAATCATTTTTAATGTCTGTGTGCTTAAGCCTTAAGACATAGTTGAAGGGAATCGTCATCAACCTACTTATGAAACACAGGTTGCCATGTGGGGCCTTAATAGGATATTAGGACCTTTAATATCTCATTATGCTATAGATTCTCTCAGGATCTTGAGAATGTTTAGATTGCAATGAATACTTAATTAGAACACAAACTCGTTTTTTTGTAGACGTAGACTTTAAAATGTTAAAGCTTATTTGTGGGATGCGAGTATAACTCCCATCGTTTTTTGAATGAGATTGCCACGGATGCTTATTAGAATATAAGCCCATTTTATGTGGATGTAGATCACAGAGGCACAAAGTTTTAAAGCTTATCATTGGGATGTGGCCGACTGGTTGTGTTATCTATACCCTTTTATTTTTCTTTTGTCCTCCCAGATGTTTGACTCATCATTTTGTTTTTCAGTGGATGGTTTAAGTTTGTGTTGCCATTCATTCTTGTTTTCCTTGCGGTGCTTATGCTTTGGCACCGTTTGGCCAACAAAGGGAAGCTGGTAGATGCCTTCAGAATCATAGCGCCCCCCAATAAGAATGCTGTGGAGCAGCTGATTACATTGCAGGAAGCAATTTCTCAGGTAGAAACGCTGGTCCAGGCTGTGAATATTGTTCTCCTGAAGATGAGAGCCCTTCTATTGGCTGTACTTCCAGAGGTATCTCTCCCATCCGAATAACTGAACTTAACTTCTGTTTTTTGCTTTTTTGTCCAGCTCTATGAACTTTTTGTTCTGTATTTTCTGCTAATTACAACTTACTATATATAGATATCTGAATGTGTATTTTTCAATAATATTTAATTGCTAGACATGAGAAAGATTAATATCACAAATGTATATTGAAATTTAAGAAATCTCTTAAACGAAAGAAAGCTTATACTTTTTGGAATGAGACTCCTATGTGAAGTAGGAAACAACTCTTTTTGTGTGTGTGTGTGTGTGTGTTGGTGGGGGTGGGGGGGGGGGGGGAGGGGTAAGTTCTGCAATGAAAACTGGAATTTCATACTACGCACTATATCCATCAAGGAGTTTAGTCTGATTTGACATTTGTCTTCATCTACTCTTCTGGATTATGAGTTTATGTATTAATACTTATGCCCATCATTTAGTTTCTTTGTGCATGTGAGAAGAGTATTTCCTTTGTTGATGGGATGCTCAGAAACAAGATTTGTCATGCCTGATGATTTGATAGAGATAGCTTTTGAAGTTTATTAGCAATGCTTAAAAGACATACAAATGGATGCATAAACTTCTGTACTTTGTGCCTGAAATGTTTTGAGAAAGACACCTTTTTACCTTAATAGCTGTCTTCTAGAAACTTGAGTATCCTTGCTTCTTAAATATTTATTTGTGAGATTTACTATAACACCCCATATTTTCCCACAAGCCTAATGAGAACAAGGCATAACGGAAAGAATAGAATCCAACCTTCCTTTTCTCACTTTATACTTTCTAGGACTTTTTGTTATCAGTTTCCAAGGCTTTGGATTGTTTCGTCACCCACTTTAAAGCACCCCAAAACCACTACAGTCCTGTAGCAACTCAATTTTCTCATTGTCGGTCCTTTATAATCTTATATGTGTGCTACTCACTTAAAAGGGCCCAAAAGGGCCCAAATCAACCCTCGTCTTTGCTCTTAGGCAAGTGTCCCTTTCAAAATCAGATGCCTGCTTGTATCTCTCTGCAATATCGCCTATCTGCACAATCCCCTCCCCCCCCCCCCCTCTTTCCCCACGAGGCTTGAACCCTTGCCAACAAATAGCAAGAGTGCACCATTATGGTGCCAAAACACCCAGATCATGACGCCTTGGCAAGGGTTTTATGTCTGATCCCCCTTCAATTGCATGGTATATGACTCACCTTGGCAGTGGCTGCCCTTGCTCACTCTCCCCTATAAAATTAAGCATAAATCAAGGCATAGCTATGTTTGTACTAGCTCCATTTAAAGCTTTCCATGATCCTCAGTTCTGAAGTTTGAATCCTCCTACTACCTTTTTCATTTTGATTTCCTTATTTTTGTGTCTTAACCTTTTTTTTCTTCTGCTCTTCAGGCCACATACAGGGTTTCCATCTTTTTACTTCTTACAGCGGCATTGTTCATACTAGTGCCTTTCAGAATTATAATCCTGTTTGTTCTAATGGAGCCCTACACTAGGGAAATGCCTTTGAGAAGGGAAAGCAGCTACAGGTGGTTGAGGAGACTAAGAGAGTGGTGGTTTGGGATACCTGCTGCTCCAGTTCAGCTCATCAAGCATGAGGACAGTAAAAAAAATAAATAACCCCTCGGTTGTGACACGAATTTGCAAAAGTGGATGGCAAGACTGTTTTCGCTGCTGTAAGAAGCCTGTCTATTTAACTTATATGACAGCAAAAGCACCTGCTGCATCACTTTTTTAAGCTATGTTAGGAGGATGAATTTTTTTTTTTTTCTTTTTTTTTTTTTTTTAATTTAAGCTGTTTGTTGTACACTTTGTACCTAATACATCAATATAAAGTTATAAACTGTGAACTAGTGTGTGCTTCAGGTTTGGCTACATTGAATATCATACTGTATTATTTGAGTTCCTAAAAATGAACTGCTTTATAAATTTTGTAAAGCATGCATTTTTAATTTTAGGCTTTTGCTGGAAAAATTGGGTATGTTATCTTTGCTGGGTTTCTTTTCTATTGTTTCTTTTTAGGGAAATTTTCTTTGGTAATATCATGTTTTTTAATTTTCTCAGTGGTAAACACTAAACAATGAAAATTTTGATTATCATTGGTAACACTATATTATTGTATTAAGTTAATTATAACATTAATGATTAATTTTTATTAAAATTTTAACTTTAGTTAGAGGTTTTTGGTTAATTATTTAATTGTTTATTAAGTTATTTATCACAAAGATTATTTTTTTTTTAAATAAAAACCCAACCCCTTCCAGTTCCCACCCACCCAGCCACCAGCCCAACCCCTCCCCTTGGCAGTGCCTAGCCTCCACCACTCTGCCGGCGACGCCAGGTTCCCCCATATCCGCCGGCAATCCTTGTACTAACACCGACGCCCCATCCAACGCCCCAAATCGAAAAACACCCAAATCCGCCAGCAACCCCTGTCCTCACCCCGACGCCCCACCCAACGCCATACCCATTTCTCTCCTCAAATCTGCCGCCAGAAAAACACCCAAATCCGATGCAACTCGCCCGTAAGTCAGCCCCGCGAAGTTTCTGGATTTAATCGTCCGCCATTGTTACAGAAATTCGAGGTCGCCATAACCTGTTTGTTAAGCTTCAATCGACGATATTCGACACTTCAAGCAGAAATTAGGGTTTTTCGGCATGAAAGACTTTGGATCAATTCAACTCCTTAACAAGATTTCTACATGAATTGCTATACCTTATCAATTTCTTCGCGTTCAACTTCCGGCCGATTCAATTACTTCAGAGAGGTTTCACGAGCTTGATATGAATCGGGGTGAGGAAGGTGTTTGATTCTTATTCCATCGATTGTGAATAAGCATGGGAGGGGTTGAGACTTGAGAGTCGAGGTGGGGGAAGGAGGGAGTGAGGTCGCCTCTGGGCTGCCGGCGCACGGTTTGGAGGATGGTCAGCCGGTACGGGGCTGGCACCGGTAGGGGAGTGGGAGGGGGCTGCCGCCGGCAGGATTTGGGCTGGTTGGTGTGATTTTTTTTTTTTAAAAAAAATTATTTTTAAAATAATTTAATTATTAAAAAAATAAAAAACTACTCATGGTTAAAGAATTTAACTAGAGTTAAACTCATAATTACGTATAATCATCATTAATGTCACCATTGGATTAGTAATAACAAATTTCCCTTCTTTTTAATTTTACTATTTTTCCAGATCTATATGAAGTATATGTATATCATTGTATTATTGTTGACTTTTACAAATTATCAACTAATTGTAGTCAGAAGTTCAAATACTGTGTATCCAATAGATTCATGTATTAGTGAAATCAGAAATCCCCTGTAACTTAAATATCACTGGCAATTGCAGGAATTTTTCGTTCGTCCATCAACATGTATGTAGGAAACCAACAATGAACTGCATTCTGCGGAATTTAGGAAACCAACAAAAAAAAAATTAAAAAAAAAAAAAAACTGCATTCACAGAATTTACCACTTTCAGAAAAATGGAGATATTGTGTATTAAGAATTGATGGAATACCTACCAAGAATGCGTATTTGAAGTCGAAGCTAAAGCAATACTGTCCTTTCAGTAATTGGTAACAATTGTTCGATTGTTAGCAGAAATCAGTTATTCCTCACAATCACTGAAAATCATGCGTAGGAAAAAAGAAGAAATTTTAAAAATACAAAAAACTGCAATGACCAAGAAAAGTGTATCACAGTACGCTTTCTGAGCATTATAATAACGTTTTCCTAAAGAAAAGCATAAACCCCTGTGGAAATATATGGATAGAACTATAGTAAGTTCTAGCATTATTGTATCTATTTTCACAAGTGAAGATTTCAAAATTACAGCTAGGGTAGAGGCTCAAACAAAAATACTGCATATGAACACATATTGATAGAACATGGAAACAAAAACAAAATTCAGTGAAAACACCTGTCACCTAACAGGCTACAACACTTCCTGAAAGATCTATCTTACAAGTCAATTTCCATCATCATACATGTTCTCTCTACGTTTGGGGAAAGCAGAAGAGTCGAGATTAGAACCTCTGAATTTCAGCTCCGAGGTTGCTCTATAATTGGGATCAACAGATAACGGTCTGGAGCTAGTGTCCACAGCACTTGGCCTAAAAGAGCTGCCTCCTCCACCAGGATATCGGGATGGAGAAGTATACCTTCTTGAAGGACCTCGCAAACCATTACTCCTCATATCCATGATGTCAGCATTTCTTGATGACAAATCAGTAAAAGATCTTTCTCCTGGCCCAGACCCTAATGAGGCTCCTCCACTCGTGACCAAGGTGGAATTAAAAGGATCGTCTGGGCCCCATGATGTAAGTGCTTCCTTCTTCTTGGCAAAGAACTGCCACGCTCCAAAGAGGAAGAGTATGAAGAACAATACAGGACTTGTCCAGAGTACTGTGCTGGACTCTCCTCTGGTAATTGGAAGTTTTGAACGGTACATTCCCACATACCCTCCTCCAAGACCAAGAATAACAAGCTTTTCACGTTCACTAGCTATTAGTGGTATCGCTTTTTCCTTCCCGCTCTCATCCACAGCTTGACCAGGTAAAAATGATGATTTGATCTCCTCTATACCAGCAGAAAATGTTAGACGAGGAGCACCAGACCTATAGTGTTGAGTTGAAACATTATACACATAGATCTTTTCTTGGCCTATGATTAATAAGTATCCCTTGATTGCCTGAAATGCAAGAGGATCATCCATGTCAAACTTTTTCCTGCATCTAACCCTGCATTTGAAGTTCGTCACATCACCTAATAATAATAGATGAATCAATTCGCCAGATGATGTAAACCCATATGCCTTTGACCGCTCAGTAGCATCAAACACATAGTTAGACACTGTAGAATCATTCAGACCTTCACATTCAGTCTCCCTAATCTTCATAGTCCTCAAGTCCAAAGATCCGGCACCCTTCTCCATCAAGAACAAAAGCCTTTGTTTCAGGAAAGCCAGGGGGCGGCTCGTTGGCACAGCCAACCCATACAAAGTACCATTCTCTCTAAAAACCTTGATTTTCCCCTTCCCTTCCACTGACAAAATGTATCTAGATCTAGCAACATGATGGACTTCCAAGATTGAGACTGGGGCGCCAATCGACCCAACTTCCCCCGTATCCAATGCCACATGATTCTCCATGTGAAGGGAACTCAAATCCTCAGCAAGCGACGTCTCCCAAAGCCTATGAGCCAAAATAACCCCATTACTATGACCTGTAACCAACACGCTCTCGTTCATATAAGCCGACATATAAGAAAGCATAGCAGTAACAGGTGAATCAGTCAAGGTACTGAACTCAACCAAAACATCCCCATTCCTCAAAAAGACATAAACTCGGCCGCTATCATCGCCAACCGCGATGTACTTACTAGCACCTCGTAATCTCGAAAGGGTAAAACATTAACACTAGTAGCAACTGAATCCAAACTCACAGCCGACATAAACTGAAATTTCTCAGACCAAAAAGGGCTGTACTTTGTGATGGAACCCGCTTTCAATCGATTCCCTGGCGCAGCAGCAGCAGCCTCACCTTTAGAGCCTTCATCATGAATTCCAACATCTCTGCCCACAATATGAGCTGATCTATCACCCTTCTCTTTGTTATTAACATAGTTTTTTGAATCATCAAATTTGGACTCTAATCTTGTAACTAGCTCACTCAAATTCTTCACTAGTTGTTCAAGCTTATCAATTTGAGATTGGTGTTGATTGTGCAGAAAAGGGTCACCATTATTATCGTCATTGTTAGTGGTATCTTTATCAATATTATTATCATTGCAATTAGGAAGGAGCTGATTATTAGGTAAAAGGGACATAAAACCCATCAAAATTTTCAAAGATTATGAAAAAAGAAATGCAAAAAACAAGAAAAGGGACATAAAACTTGCCTTCCATAGAAGTATTATTGAACATAGGATTTTTCTGAGAAGAAATAAAAAAGCTTCTCCTTGAATTTTGTAGCTGCTAGCTGATCATCCGAATCAAAGATAGAAAACAAAATCTGGAATTTGCAGATTGATGAATAAAATTGATGGGGATTTGAGAGAAAGAGTGAGTAAGAGAGAGAGAGAGATTGCGGGTGTTTTCCAAAGTTACGGGCAGAAAGGAGTGAGTTGCCGGTTGACTGAAGTGAAGGCGGTTTCAAAGGAGGTCTTTAATCTTTTTACTCTCCCTATAGGCCTAGATTGGGTTTTGTTGTCCCAACAATTTCATGCCCACTCATTTTTACTTTTTTTTTTTTTTTTTTTTTTTTAATTCACTCTATTGTTTTAAGACATACTAATTCTACCCTTTTTTTTAATTTTCGGGTGCAATGATATACTTTTCATACGAGGTACTCCGTATTCTTTATGCCCCGTTATTTTTTCAAATTTTTCTACTTGGATAATCCAAAATGATTGTTCCATTTTGTTTTTTTTAAGCATTTATGCTTGTTGTTCATGAAACAATCACAACCAACTACCCAAATATTAAAAAGACCCAACTATTCTTCTCATTTTAATAATAACCACCAACAAATTTTATTTTTTTTAAAAATTTTTTTTACCACTTACTATTTCTTAAACCCTTAAATTTTTCCACCAAAAATTCCCCAATCCTTCATGTATGACGTCATTGTGGTGTTCATCTCCCTCGAGGCCTTGATTCTCATGTTCGATTGCAACTTTTTGGTTTTTTTTTTTCAGACATTAAAATTGGGTTAAAGCATTTAGCAATCGATTCAACATAATTAAGGTCGCATGAAGATAATCAACTTACTAAACATATATCAAGTATATCAATTTTTCAAATTTCTTGGGTCAAAACAACTCTCAAATCTTGAAAAACAAGCCGAACGGGTCATTTGGGATCCACCAAAGTGTCAAAAACCCATCTCTCTATCTTTCCCAACCTTTTCCCGCCTTTTGGAACTGTTCCCCCAAATTTTTTTGTTGTTGCCTATTACGGAGTACTGCTTTTTTTTTTTAATAGTATTTTCCCTTTTCTCCACCATGTTGCGTTTGTGAAAAAATAGAGTAATCACTATAACACCGACAAAGTAACCCCTATTATACTTACATATTAACTCCTTATTATACTTATAGAGTTACCCTTAAATAACAAAATAACTCTTGCAACACTAACAGAGTAACCCTTACATTATTAATAAGTAACCCATATAGCACCAACCGACCGTAACTGAATACCCCATGGTGGCGGGTCACACGATGTGATCAGTCACCTAAAAATTAGGGTAAGTAACAGTGTTATTTCTGCACTTTCACAAGTCTTGAGCCACTACTTGGACAGAAATTTCGACCATTGACCTCAAGATGTAAAGGATAGAAAGAAAAGACAAGTCTACTTTCGACCGCAATTCTACACAGTAAACACAGCTAAAGCGCCATAACAAACTCAAGAGTTGATACAACCAAAGAAGTTCCAATCTTAACGTGCCTTGAGAACATAATCTGAAGACAGCAAAAAAATAAATGAGCAATACCAAAGATTTGCTCAAATATCATTTGGTTGACTGATTACAAATGATTTGCACAAGACATAAAAAAATCAGACAAAAATCAAAGGCATAAGTCATCTTCAGAACCAATTAACCTGCTATTAAACATCAAAATTCAAAAACCTTATCACCCAAAACTAGATCGTAAGATTATCACCCAAAACTAGAACGTGCTATCGTTTTTATATACAGTACACAAGTCAGAACATGAGCAAAAATCTTCACTAGCCCTATGATGATGGATTTAAAGTGGAGCCTTTCCAATTTGAAAACCTCCAAAGTAAAAATTACAATTTTTCAATCATTGGACCAAAGAATCAAGTTCTAGGCTTCTTTGGCGTGCCATTAGATCCAGGTTCAGCTTTCCGCTTGATTCCCAAAAAGTGCTCTACCTGAAAGACACAATTAAACTTAAAAATTGGCATGTACAAAAGGGAAAAACACAAATACATCAGAGCGCTTTATAAAGTGACCTACAAAGCTCACAAATTCACAATCAATGTTACCTACACAGTTCAATATATTTTAGGCACCTGTGTCGGGTACTACAAATTTATGTACTAAACACTCCTATATGAGTATAAAATATGTGCCTGACAACTTATGCCCCATTTGGAAAGTGGTAATGGTCTAATGGATATGAATTTGCACATAAATCTATATCAGAAACTGAAGTCTGTTTACATGATAAACTAATGATAGTTTACCCTCAAATTACTTTTCTTCACAAATTTTCATGACCATCCATTACCATTAAGTGTCATTGGGTGAAAATGGACTTTTATGAAGGAAAAATAAAAGTTTGGGAACAAGATTGCATTACTATGGATATTAAGATGTGTTATAATGCTTGCCAAATTACATTTACATTCTTCCATTACCACTACCTATAAACTAAAAAATACCGTTAGTTTTTATTACAACGCCGTAATTATCTTAGGCCACTTCAAGAGAAATAAATAAATAACAAAATATTGGGCTATGCTTACAAATGGGCATGAGATGTTAACAGGATCTATAATGTGGATATGGATGCACTTTTTTAAGATGAACAGCAAGTATTATAGTATTGGTCTTTCAAAATAGTATTCTAGTATCGGGAATATGTTTAAAGATTGTCATGTCTGGATTTCCCAACACTTAGGTCGCGACATCCCATAACAAATGGACCCAAACACAAAATCATCTGACTAGAACCTGACCAATGACCCATTTTATAAGTCCAGTCACCACAAGTCTCTTACGAAACACCTCCTTTATGTGAGAAGACTCTCCATGTTACAAATTTTTACTCATATGTTCTAAATTTTACACCAGGTGTTCAAAATTTTTATTTACATGTTCTAAATCTTAGATGGGTTAAATCAAATGTTCAAAATTATTAAACACATATTATAAATCTTAAATAAGTTGTCCGAAATTTTAAATTGTTTATTCTAAGATCTTTAATCATATGTTCTAGATTTTAAATCGTATGTTCTAAATTTTACTCTTATATTCTAAATTTACACATATTTCTAAATTTTAAATTAGGTGTTCTAAATTTTTAATAACATGTTCAATCTTAAATCAGACAAGTTTTCTAAATTTTACTTACATGTTTAGAACTTAAATCAGATGTTCTAAATTACTACTTACGCACATTTTCTTAATTTTACTCATATGTACTAAATTTTGAATCATATGTTCTAAATTTTGAATCATATTTTCTATGTGAAAACACTTTCTTATGTTAGAACACACTCTAAGTTCCAAATTTTTAGTTGTATGTTCTAAATTTTAAATCAGCTTAGATCGTGTGTTCTAAGATTTTTAATCATATTTTCTAGAATTTAAATCAAATATTCTAAAATTTTACTCGAATGTTCTAAGCTTTTACTCAAACATTCTAAATATTATCGTTCTAAATTTTAAATCAGGTATTCTAAATTCTTACTTACATGTTTAAATCTTAAATTAGATATGCCAAAATTTACTCATACTCCCTCCGTTTTTAATTACTTGCTCCACTTTTCATTTTCGGCCGTTTTTAATTACTAGCTCCATTTCCTTATTTGAAAAGCTTTTACAATAGTTAATTCATTTCTCTCAACTAGTGGATCCAACATAAATCATATTTTATTAATTTCATATTCTCTCAACTACTTTTGCTTTTTACAATTTTTTATTCTTCCACCAACCCCACTACCTCCATATTTTCTTACTTCTCCAATTTCTCCTAAAACTCCGCGCATGGAGAAATAAAACAAGTAAAAAACACATATGCTTTACTCCCATGCTCTAATTCTCAAATTAGATGTTTTAAATTATTACTCACACATATGTTCTTAATTTTGCTCATATGTTCTAAAATTTTGAATCATGTATTCTAAATTTTTATCATGTGTATTGTATATATATATAAAGCAATAAGCAAAATGAGAGCTAACCTTTTTATCGCCAAGCATAGGTGTCAAGCTTCCAGGGACATCCTTCTCAACAGTTGCAAAACCACTCCTAGGATCACTAGTTTGCCTGAGTAAAGGTGGCAACAGGACACAGAGTACATCAAAATTTAATTAATATATTTAAAAATATATTCCAGAGACAACAAAGAGGCATCAAACAGATGATAGGTATTAAGCAAAAACTATAACTGCCTAAGATGCGATAACATAGCAAAACAGAAAAAGCAAAGTAGGAATATCTCCTTCACAGTTGTAATTATTGCAAATGTTTCCAAGAAGTGCATCACTTTTCTTTTTTGGTCATTGAGGGTCACTTTCTCAAAGCTAAACTCATGTTGAGAAATACTGATACAAGTAAAAAAGCAAAGTACTAACCCAGGTTTAACATTCCCACTGAGAACAAGATAGGGTGTTTTCAATTGAGCTTGAGCCTCTCTCATTCTATCCACAGACTGTGGAATCACATCTGTGGAAGTCATCTGCTTCTGCTTCAGTTCATCGTGGTACTGTTTCATCCGTTTTTCCTGTTTCATTTTCCCCGGCCCTTTTCCATGAAATTTATGAGAAAGCAAGCGAAAGGCTTGTTTTGGAGTCAGCTGCAAAACAAAATACAAAGGATCTAAGAATGTTTCAAAGCTAACATATTTAAAGCTCAAGTCTGCGCCCTAAAGTAAATTTGATGCAGATACATTAATTAACTAAAATAATTTAAAGACTAATGCACAAATATATCAAGTACACTCCCATGCATATTCATCTTTAATTCACTCGGACAGATAAATAATTGTCTAGAAAATTCCACATATCAATACCATCTAATTTATAATAAATAATATAATTAATTAATTAATTAAAAATTAATTAATTAGTCCAGAAACTAAAAGTGCTTTCTGAAAAAAAAGGCAAATTCACAACTTTTGGATTCAAATCCACCCTAATACCTAATCCTCGTCACAAGTGACATGCAAAAATATTGTTTTCAAAACAAAACTTGAATAAATAAACTGTGGGGCCTTAAATTGCAAGAAACAATAGTACAAAATTACTAAACAAAAGGCAAGAGTACAAGAGAATCAACTTACAACTCTGCCGAATTCATCCAAACGCTCCAGATTTATCTCCTTAGGAACTTCATCAACCAGCTTACCCTTTTTCTTGTCCATACGTATCTGCTTAGGTCCTTCTTCTTCATGGATGCCAACCAACTTACTCTTTTTTTTGTCCATGTTTCTTCCACCCCATTCGATAGTTTCTTTGAGTGTGCCTCGTTCTTTAAGCATCTTAAGCACACCAGACAACCCTTTACCAACAGGAGCTTCATGAAGCGTCTCATCTGGAACTACATCCTCTTCATCTTCACTCTTGAGCTGTTCATCCTTTCCAGAATCCACAACCTCTGACCAACCACTAGTCTCATCTTTTTTCTCCTCAACAGCTTTTGGCACTTCATCTTCCTCCATAAATACATCTTCATCGTATGGCCTTTGAGCCTCTGCATATGCAGATAAGCAAGTTAATATGAGAAATAATTAGCTAAGTCTTGTGTCTTTTTTACCACCTTAACAGTAGTCAACAACTTTCAAATTTAGATCTTAAAACCAAAAATTCTAATAGCTATCAAACAATATAGTTCAAAATATCCTAAACGATATAAATTCACATTTTAGACAAACATGCAAGAAGAATTGTTGGACAGTGACCATAAAAACTAATATTCTTAAAATCATAAAAGTAAACAGGAAATAAGGATAAGCTACGTTACGGTTCAGTTATTAACATAGGATACAAATATAGATCTAGTTGTCATCCTCAATCATTTTATGAAAATTCTGAGTATGTAGTTATAGACTTATTATAGTCCAAGCTGAAGGTTTAATGTCCATACCGCTTTCATTATGTCAAGGATCCAACACAGGCGCTAGGGTTGAAAAAAGTAACATACTAATTGGATTATGAATTTGCATAGTGGCGAAACAATATTAAGTTTCAGTTCATCTAAGGCATACAAATCTAGAGAAAGAGCTAGCAGCCTGGCACATACATATACACTTGATCAGTTGATCTACCATAAGAACATCTATCACGCACATCTAACGAAATAAAAACTAAATCAACAATCTTTTAAGTAGTTTGATTGTTTCTAGGCCAGCAAACTGCAAAAAAATTGATAAGGCATCACACGTTGCATACCACATTACAGGAACTACATCACAGCTATATAATCCACAGAAAAATAGAGTCGTATTTCGGTTTAAGTTATGAATTAAAAGTAGCATATGCTCGATTTATTAATTTCTCTGATTGCCTATTTTTCTTTTCTTTTTTTTTTCCAGATGATTTTCGTAAAAAGGTTGTGTTTACATGGAGATAAAAGAGGTAAAGGAACAAACCTTCATTTAGCTGAAGACCCCAGACAAACTCCTCCATCTCAGTAAAGATAACCTTATTATCTGAACCATCCTCGAGAGCTGAATTTTGGGCATCTGTAGCCTTATTGTTGACAGCTAAAGATGCAAGCCGTGCAACTGCCTCTGGCCCAAAAAGGGTTTTCTCATTTTGTTTTTTTAAAGCTAGTTTTCTAGTTCTTTCCAACGACATCTGCAGATCCTCAGCATCATCTGCAAAAACAAGGGTATCATCTTCCTCCTCAGCAGGAGTAACAACTTGCTCCATGCGGAGAGCCCTAGATGCTTCATCCGCTTTTGAAAATGCAGTTTGGTAAGCACTCTTTCGCCTCTCAGCCTCATTTCTTTCTTCTTCCTCTTTAGCAGCCTGTCTTTTGTTATCACTACGGGAACCAAGATCTGAAGCACCTAAACCAGTAATCCTTGCCTCTGCTTCAAGAGCATCTAAGTCAAGTTTCTCCCTTTTACGCAAAGATTTCTTTTTCTTGGGTTTCTTGAACTTAAGCATTTCCTCAGGGGTAAAGTAATCTGATGATATTTTTACAGATGCATTCAGATCCTCAGCTTGATTGTTTGTAGGACCCTGAAGCCTTCTACGAAGCTGATAAGTGAAGATAAAAGTAAAGTAAATAATATGCACGAGAAAGGTTCAGACTCGGACATGGATATTTTCTCTTAAAGGCATTCAAATTTAGCTAAATATTTGCTCTTACCTCTTCCAACTTCTTTTCTGCTTCACCAGTGAACCGCCCTGCAGCATCTAAAACAACCCCCTGGAAAAAGAACCCAAAAGAAGCAAAGTTAACAAGCAAAAAAAAACTATAACACATTTGACCAAATTGAATACATGGCTTCTTCAATCATTGAAATTACCTCCTCCACAGCTGGATCATCATACTGTGAAAGCATCTTCTTCTCTTCCCCAGGCTCATCATTGAACCTAGACAATCAAATAAAAATAAGTCAGACATCAAACACACACAAAGAAATTATTTCACCAACAAACACTTAAAAAGTTAAAAACATGTCCTATTAATTAAAAAAAAACACTGCACGTGATTTTTTGCTAGAAGCCACCTGACATCTATGATCAACATTTATAGATAGAAGCCATCCCTATCTCTTTATTTTAGACCAAAGTTCTTGTTATTGGGACATTTTTCAGCATTCTGCAAACAAGAAGAAAGTACCTGAAATAATCAAAATCAGAAACTCTCTCTCTCTTGACAACACCACTTTCATAAGCCCCACTCCCACGGATATTCTTCTGGCTCTCATTTCATAAGAATATCGATTGTAAGGTGTGCTTTAACTAGACTTATAATAGCAATAGACCATCATTGTACTAAGTCAACGAAGTCGATGTGTCTTAAGTGACATACTGACATGCCATTTGTGGCTCATATGAATAATAAGCTCTGTAATATGGGGCAATTTATACAAAAATTCTTACATGTATCGAAATCTCAATGTGATTAAGTTGGGAGGGGGGGGGAGGGGGAGGGGATACTCACTTGTCGACATATATGCCGGAAGTCTTCTTTGCTGCTTTGTAAGCTTCAGCCCTCCGCTTCTGCTCACCAATTTCCACATTTTCAAGCATATCAACATCTGGTACCACCAAAGATATTAAATAAAATTCTAATGCCTTGTCACGGTATTGAATTACAGCACACAAAATAACTGTCACTCTGACACTTGTCACAACGAACATACCTTCATTCAAGTCACCATTGGCAAGTATGTCCTGGTCTTTCAGAGTCAAAACAACTGAGCCTCCTTCAAGAACTTTGTCAACCCCATGTAGAACCTTGACTCCTGCCAAAGAATCTGCAGAGGAATGTTCAGAAAACAAAACTAGCATAGACACATAAGCCTTTTTTTTTTTAAGAAAAAAAAAAGTAAATCAACCCATCAGAAGGAAAACATATTCATAGCATCAGAAGTATAACATATTTACAGACCAATAAAAAATTAAAAAAAAAACAAAAAAAAAAACAAAAAAAAAAAAAAAAACAAAAAAAAAAAAGTAAGCCTAATGCATTATAGGTTACATACCTGTAATCTCGGTAGCTTTATTGTCAACTTCATAGTCATCTTCATCCAGATTATCCTGACAGATACAAACAAAAGCATAGAATCATAACTATCAGGACAATCAGACAGTGACAAAGAAAAAAGAGCAAGTAACAAAGCAAGGGCAAAACTCTTAGAAAGGAACCTGCTCCTCAAAAATCTTAGACCTCCGCAAAGCTTTCTCCTTTTCCAAATTACTCTTCTCCTCAAGTTTACGACTTTTATGTACCCATGATAAAATTTCAGAAGTGCCTTCCGATGTCTTTTTCATTCTTTCTTCTTTCATCCTAGTAGATGAATCAAAGTTAATAAAAACAAGGAATCTATGTAACTGAGGTCACCTAATCTTGAAGCCAGATTCTATCTCATTAACTTGTCAAGGTTCAAAAGCTACTGACAGTTCATCGTTTCCTTAAACTGAGCCAATAGAATCACACAAATATAATCATATAAATGCCTACACTAACCTTAAGATGCGCTCTGCAACTTCCATTCGAGACTGACTTGGGTCCACTGATGAATGTGTGACATAATCCCCTTGCTTGATGGGACCTACGCCTTCCTCGTCAGAAGGTGTGGTTTCCAGCTCAATGGACGCCCTCTCCTTGTTGTAATCGCTAGCTTTTTTAGTCTTAGTGTCTCTTCCACCATCCTTACTGTGATCTTGATCCTCTCGTCCTCTTCTGCCACCTTTTTCTTTGTCCCTGGATCGCTCCTTTTCATAATCTATCTCCCTCTCTCTTTCTCTACTAATATCCTTTACTTGCTCCCTTTCTACCATATCTCTACCTTTGTTCTTTTCATGATCTCTTTCTCTCTCTCGGTCTCTAGTCCTCTCTCTCTCCTTATCCCTATCCCTATCTTTTGCTTTCTCCTTATCCTTCTCCTCTTTTTCCTTGCTCTTTTCTTTTCCTCTATCCTTCTCCCGCCCTCTCTCTGGTTCATTATCTCGGTCTCTTTCACGATCTTTTTTTCTCCCTCGATCCTTTTCATCTCTATCTCTATCAAGATCTTTCACTCTATGCTTATCCCTGTCATTATCCTTCTCCCTGCCTTTATCTTTAGTCCTATCCTCTTCCTTCTCTTCTTTCCTCTTTTCCTTGACAGAAATTCTTTCTTTTTCCAAATCCTTTTCAGTTTCTTTTTCTTTCAACTCATCCTTTAGCTTTGAACGATCTCTGTCTTTGCTTCTGTAATCCTTATCCTCTCTCCGGGTTTTCTTCTTATCCTTGCTTCTGTGTTTGGTCGATTCTCTAGATCTATCTTTATCATTTTCTTCTGAATCATCAAAAGTACCTTTAGTAGACTCTCTTACGGGAGAGCCAGCTCGATACCTTTCTTCACTTCTATCATGCCTTGATCCAAATCGGTCAGCATCCATGAAGACAATAATCAAAATATTGAGCTCACGTCACAAAGAAAATTACCAATTTGCAACCTAAATTAAGAAGAAAAAAAGTTTACCATCAGCATAGCTGATTCTAATCAGAGAAAATTTGAGTTTGAATTTTTATATCAATATGTGTAAATTGAATAACTTTTTACACACAATATGAAAAACTATAATCTACATACATTAAAATTTAAAAATCATGAAATACACTTTCAAACAAGATACGTTGCATATGTTTTGATCCAACTTCCATTTTATGCACACATGCTAATAAAAGCTACATTCATTTTAAGTACGTCTAATGAGAGCATAATAAGGAGTGCCAACTGAAATAATTTATTTTAATTTGTGAGCAATAAGTTGTGGTTGAAATAAGCAGTATAAAACATGAAGATTGAACAATTTTCATTTATGATTTATGTTGATTGTTGAATAAAAAAACTTATAAATAAATAATGACTATTGGATAGTGTTATGCAAGGAGAGTTTGGATATCCCTAATGCATAATTATTCTTTCTTACCAGGGCCAAATAAAAAAAAAAGCAAAAATATTTCATGTGAACACAAGCATACCAAATAAGAAAATGGTGCAATTAATATGCAACTTCCCAAAAAAGGAAAATGGTGAAATTACACACACACAAATTACAAACCGTGCATTGCAAACTACAAAGGTAACACATGGGTTCAATAAATATGATGATGTTTTCCATTTCCTCCATTTTTTTTATTTAACATCTCTCTACTCTATTCAAGCATAATAGTCCCCACATTCTCTCACCACAATTGAGAATTTAAAGATCTCAAAATGGAAGAACGAGTTCTTTTGCTGGCCCCTCTCTCTAAAGGGGCGTAAGCACTTTACTCGCATCGCACCATTCCTTTTGTGCTGTAACGCAGTTGATGCGCTCTGCCTCACGGTTTTATGTTCGTCATTCTTTGTCGATTCTTCCCCTCTTATATCAGGATTTATATTCTTTACGGCGTCAACCATAATTTGGTAACATCGCCTTCAGTTCGAGCTGGGTGATGAAAAATTTTATAAACAATAGCACGAACCTAAACAAAAAATACCCACCACCTTACATTTTATTCACTTATATTCGACAAAATAATGCCTTGTAGAAATGAGACGTCATCAGTGGGGAGGAGTAAAGTTTAGCTTAACACTCATACCCTAATTATAACTTTCTTTGTTTTTTTATTATTGCATCATTTGGATTTTTACACTATTCACAAGCTCCACTTTGATCAGCTTTTGTTATCTATACTTAAGGATGATTACGGTCAAGTGGAACCTTGTCAAATCTCTCATTAAATGCTTTAAAATTCACTTTTTATAATATTTAATCAATATAATTAAAGACATTAACAGTATATTTGTGCATTGGTGAATGTGAAACTTATAATGATGCAATTGAATAAGAATGGAGGAAGTACTAATTAAGGTTTAATTTACCAAAGAGCTATCACCATTCGTTCTTATAACCACCACTAATCATAAAACAATTACACAACTAAATTCCAAAAAAAAAATGTTCACCATCACACAAATAGAAGTGTTCTGCATAGGGATGGCAATTCAATCCGAGTTTGATTCAAATCCAACCCGATCCGAAGAAAAAAGTCCAATCCGAATCCGTTTAAAAATAGTCCGAATCCGATAAAATAGATCAGAATCCGAATAGGAGGCGGATAGGACTTGGACCCTGCGCAAAGTCCGACCAAGTCCGACCCGAGACAATATGATATAAGAAATAAAGTACATTAGGAACAATACAAGCAATTATAGGTTCACACATTACAAAAAAAAAAAAAAAAAAAAAAAAAAAAAAAAAAGAGAGAGAGTATTCGGATCATTCGGAAATCCGAATAAACGGGTCGGATTCCGATCCTAAAATTACGAGTCGGACTTTGTGGATACAGATTCGGATTCAAATCTGAGTCCGAAGTCCATTTAGTAAACGGATCGGATTTGGATTTAGCCGCATCCAACCCGAATCCGACCCGTTGCCATTCCTAGTTCTGCGATTAAAAGAAAAAAAAAGTGACCATATAACACAAACAATCAAATAACAAAGAATAACCAAATTTAGGTACAAAAAACATAGATTAGTCTTTGGATTGCCCCTTGTAAAATTGGTCAGCATTATGATAAAGAGCTATAAAAGTATAATATCAAGAACATCTATTTCGTATACTGCATTATTGTCATAACCCAATCATTTTAATTCTAGTTGTGAATACCCACTAAATAAACACAAGCTTCTTCTCAAATGACATAAAGCCCAAATTAGCAAAACATATATAATGAAACATAGGATGAGCATTAAACAATGCAAGTTACTATTCATTTACTAACCTCACAATGCTCATTTCTAGTACATCTGCATCCACGTTTTTCAATCATAAAGTAATATTAAAATATTTGCAATATGTAAGAGGAAAAGGAAGAGAATAGCTGAGCCTAAGAGTAGGAAGAAAATACCAAAGGCTTCTCCTAAATTTCCCTTTCCATTGCCACAGCCCACTCCTCACCACAAGACCAACACCGGCATCTACGCACAGCAGGTCCACAACACCATGTCCGCAAGCAATACCACACTAGAAGAGTCTTGAGAATAAACAGTAGAGAAGGTGAAGTTATTGCTAAGGCCTGAGTGACGTCATCCCCAAATAGCTCCTCTTAGACACCCACCAAAAAAAATCATGAAGAGAAACTACAGGCTGATTGAGAAAATTAAGAGTGAAAGGGATGAGAATGGAGCGTGAGAAGGAAATTGAAAAGGGTATTGCTTTTTTTATATAACAACATTTAAAGGTTTTCTTTTATCTAGGAGTGAGGTAGTGTGTATCACCCATGCTATATCAAATAAAAGGTTTTGCATCCATTAACATCTATATATATATATAGCACTGTGAGTTTGTGAGTATAGCACTACAACCTACATCTAACCCATTAGACTAGAGAGAGGATACTATGAATAATGGATAAATCCATGAACAAGCAGACAGACAAGTCGGAAAATTGAGATACATCTAATCAAATGACTATCAAAAGAACTGCCAAATTGTCCATAAAACAAAATATCAACACAAAACTTTGATACTAAGCTTTGGCTAACCCATAATCTGAATTTTAGTTTCCTTAAGCCAAAATTTGACATTTCCTCATTCTATTTATGACCAAATACCTATAACTGACTCTCTTATAATATTATGTTTTGATTTATCAGAAGAAAGAAGAGGGAGTGCACAGATGTTTTGAGTAATCCTAACTCCTCATAGCATGCAACAAACAGGCCCGTCCCTGAGGCAGGGCAGGAGGGGCGGTCGCCCTAGGCCCAGGGAAAAGAGATTTGATTTCATATTGAATTATCTCGAAAAATACATAATTTTAGGGATATTTGATTCAATAATCAAATTACGCTCATAATTTTCTTTTCTTTCGGATATGATGTTCATAATCTAAGAATTTACGAACCCTAAACTTAAAGCACTGATAATTAAATTAGATTAGATCAAATATAAACCCTAGATGGTGAAATTGATATGATGATAACAACAACAAACAACTTACCTTAGAAGCTGCTTCAATGGGGGATACAAGAATTAGATTCAACGGAGAACGCTTCAATGGAGAACGTTGAGTGCACTTCAATGTAATAACTCACAGAGGTAGGAAATAGGAATGGAGGCCTTTAAAAGCCATGACCCGCCATAGTTATAATATGGGTTAGATCCGTTTGATAAATAAATGAGACGGGTCTTTATATGATCGTCTAATTATGAGACAGGTGGGTTTTATAAAGGTTTTATGTAAACATGTTTTAAATATTTCCATACACCAAAGCTTCTATCAATTCTTTGTAAGTTTTTAAGATTTTTTTTTTAAAAAACAGCTAAAATTACATTAATTAAATTGGCTTACCACAAACAAAAGGACAATAAGTAACATAAGTTACTATTGGCATAAGAAGCCCTTACACAATATCAATTAAGGTCATTAACGATATTTACCTTTTAGCTATTACAACGAGTGAGGACAACGCATATAAGGCTTACCAATATACATTTAAACATGCGATGGGACTATTGATAGAACGAGTGAAATTGGTGATGATGTTTCGTGTTGTGCAAGGTATTTTCTAACATACAATTAAAAGTCTATGAATGTTACTGAAATGACGGAGACAACCCAAAATCAGTATGTCTTACCCTAAGGGACCCCAATAATTCAAATGGATAACATCCTTTTGAGATCTATGCTTCATACATGTCAATCACATTTCTTTGTGATCTGACAAAACATATCTTATACTCCCTCCATCCCATAATATAGTTCCTATTGTTTTTTTTTTTCACGGTATTTAAGAAATGGGAGGAGAAGTGGGAAAAATCTAGACAAAAGTTAGACAAAAGTATAAGGTAGGTGGATAATTTAAGGGGAAAAAGTGAAAAGTACAATTATAAATAAAAGTTAGAGAGAGAAAGTGAAAAAAGTACAATGTAAGTGGATAAGTTAAGAGTAAATTAGGAAGTTCAATGAATAAAGTAAAAAATAAGGGTATAATGGTCTTTACATACTATTCAAAAATAGAAACGGAAACAACATTTTGGGTCTCTAAAATAGGAAAACAGAAACTATATTGTGGGACAGAGGGAGTATATATTTTCATACAAGGTCATGATGTTTTAATGACTTTTACCGATATCACATACAAATGGGTTTAACAATACCTACTACGGGTTTATGTAAATCTGAAATTGAAATTTTGCTACATCTCCCAACAAACATAAGTAACACCACTTCCATTAAAAGAACACATTTTTATTAAAACTAAAGAGATTAAAAAGAGCAATTCCAAGAGTCAAACGACTCCATTTCATCCTCCAATTAACCCTGAATTCGACTTGTCTTTGCTTTTCGATCTATTATATTGGGTGCTTCCAAAATCTAAGTTTTATTTTTTAGAAAAATTCACTTTAATTTATTAATCCGAACTTTCAGCGATTTACTCTAAATAATCCCAACTTACACTTATTAGGGAGTATTATGAACTTTTGGGTTGATTTTCTTCCACTAGGTCGATGTACCAGTGACTTAAAGAAAAGGTGATTTTTATTTTGTAAAAGTCATGTGTGATGTGTCGCAACATAATTGGTCCAAATTCTTTTTTGTAAAAAAAGAAAAAAAAATTAAAAACCCTTCCCAGCCAGCCACCATCCTTCCTCCCCTTAGCCCCAACCCCCAACCCGACCGAAATTCGACCGCCCGCCTCCCTTAGCAACCGATAACAGCCGCTCGGCCCTTCCCTACCCCTAAAAACACTCGGGCGATCCACCTACACTATCGAAACCACCCCCCTTCCCCTATCCCTAAAATAGCCCCTCCCTTCTCAGGTCGATGAAACTACCCCTCATCCCTTCCCTTGTCGTTGAAACAACCGATTTTTTAGCACCCTCAATTGGAGATTATTGCCAAGAAATTAAATGTAGTTATGTTACTCAAGGTTTTTGTGGTAGATTTTTTTAGATTTTTTTTTTTACAAAAAAAATAAATAAATAAGTGGTAGTTAGATGTTCTCAACGTAGTCATTATAATGGTAGTTGTTGGTAAAAAAAAATTTAAATTTTCACAAAATTACCCTATATCTAAAGTATAATACTCCCTTCTTCACTTTTTATTGGATACGTTTTGACTTTACACGTTTGTCAATACACCTATTTGATTATTATTCATTACATACTTTTTAAAATTATAACGATTGAATATTAATAGAGCATTCATTGAGACGAATCAAATATGATATCACATGACTCTTTTAATTTTGTGAGTAAATTTGAAGATTATCTAATACTACCTCTATCCCAGAATACATGACACAGTCAACATTGCATACATGTCAATGTACTACTTTAAATTTATTTGTATATAATTAAATATTATGAAAATTATTTTTAAAATTATATTTTGAAACTTTATATATATACCTATTTAACAATATTTTATGATAAAATATATTTTTACTATGTTAGTAAAAAATTATGATCAAAACTAATACATGAATAGTGAAAAAAGTCCAACGTCTCATATATTTTGGGACGGAGGGAGTATTATGAATAATGATTAAAATCTAAACATAACCAATAAAAATAAACGGAGGAAGTATTATGAATAATATTTAAAATCTGATAGTTACCAATAAAAAGAAACGGAGGGGTACCCTACAAAATTAATCAACCTAAAGTTTTTGTAAAAAAAAAAAGGGAAATTCTATATGGTGGCCTCATGGTTTTAAGTTTTCTACATCGAAGACGAAGTTTTTTTCAGCTCTCTTTAGTGGCACCAAGGTTTAGAAAAATTGACCATAGTGACCTTTTTTAGGTTTATTATCCAACACCATTGATTGCGGCACACCAAAGCGCGTGATTATGTTCTTCCAAATGAAGGCAAATACATCTCTCCATTTAATTCCACGGACGGCCTCAGCTTCTACCCACTTCGTAAAGTAGTCAACTGCTGCTAACACGTACCGCCTCTGCCCGGATGCAGGAGTATACGGCCCCATGATGTCCATGCCTCATTTTACAAAGGGAAGTGGACTACTTATGGCCGACAAGCTGTTTGCCGGGCGGTGAATAAGGGTTGCAAATCTCTGGCACTTGTCACATTTTTTCACCATTCCCATGGCATCTGAATTCATGCTCGGCCAGTAGTACCCCAGGTGGGTAACTTTCTTAGCTAAGGCCCGTCCACCTATGTGTGATCCGCAATGCCCCTGGTGGAGGTAGTTTAACACCTCATGCCCCCTCTTGGGCATAACACACATTAAGTAGGGCTTTACAAATGATCTTTTGAACATGTCCTCTCCCTTCGTCTCAAACCATGGCGCCTTTTTCTTTATCAGCCAACTCTCCTTTGTGTCGTCCGTAAGAACTCCATCTTTGAGATAGGAGACTATTCCGTCCATTCATGTGGAGCTTCTGTCAATTATTTGTACAGGCTCAACATCGATACTCCTCTATTCCTTGACCTCCCAGAATACAAATCTCGAAGTATTACATGATGTCGAGGAGGCTAGCTTAGATAGGGAGTCCGTTTGATGATTCTCGGACCGAGACACTTGTTGCAGCGTGAAATGTTCTAGGCTCTCGGCCTCATCTTTCACCATTTGTAAATACTTCATCATTGTTGGTATCCTAGCCTCGTAGTCACCATTCACTTAGCTGACTATCAGTTGAGAGTCCGCACAGGCATCAATCTTTGTTGAACCGGCCACCTTACACATTCTAAGGCCGACCAGAAGGGCTTCATACTCAGCCTCGTTGTTAGAGGCTTAAAACTGAAATTTCAAAGCAGATTCAAACTTATCTCCTTCGGGAGATAAATATATTATACCAGCGCCACACGTGGTCGATGTTGCATTTCCATCTACAAAAACCTTCCAAATTTGAACCGTTGCCGACTGTAAATCTGCCCGTGTCATTTCAGCCAAGAAATATGCAAAGGCTTGGCCCTTGATTGCTTTTCGGGGTTCGAATGTGATATCAAATCCTCCCAATTCTAAGGCCTATTTGAGCATTCAGCTGCTGGGCTCCAATGTCATGAACGACTTCTTCAATTTTAATTTGGTCCGTGTAGACCACAATTGAATGAGCAAGAAAGTGTGGCCTTAGCTTTTTTGATTCCATGAACACTGCCAGGCCGAACTTTTCCATGGGTGGATACCTAAGCTTGGCATTTGATGAGAGTGGATTAGGTTAGGTCGTTGGACTAACTATCCCTCTACCAAACAATATTTATATACCTAAACCTACACTAGACAAGTCTAATGGTAAGTAAAGGGTCGATCCGCAGAGACGACTAAGCTATCATCACACTACCACGCATCAACTAAGCTAGGTCAAAGAGATATGAGGAGAGAGAACTAAGAGTAAAAGGGAAGACTAACAATTAAGGAAAACTAAGAGTAAAAGGGAAGACTAACAACTAAGGAATTAGAAACTAAGAGATAAAGTCACTAGGGAAGGGGAATCAAGCATAATTAATGTGACGAGCACAAGCATAGCAATTAGCATGGACATTCTCAATAAAATGCAAGGGGCAAATCTTAATCATCTAGGTCTCTCCCGAGCACGCTACACAATCAAGCACCCAATCCCGGCTGAGGCTCGTGATCAACTCAAGGGGTTCACTTCTACCTAAATATCTCTTTTCCAAGCAACTAAATAGGGTAGCAATTAGATCATGCATTCAATTAGCCAAAGTGAAAGCAAGCATTAAACACACCTCAATGAGCACATCCAAATCACCAAGAAATAACCATACACATCACTATACTAGCATAAATCAAACGCAAACAAACACTATCGATTATCTAATCGGTCAAGTAGATGAAATTGGAGAATTGCCTAACAACCTGGGTCACTCCCGCACACACTAGGCCATTAAAGTCTCAACCCCGCCTATGAGGTCGTGGTCAACTAAGAGACAAAATTCTTCTATTAAACTAGCTCACTCCCGCACAACTAGCATAATAGCGATTAAATCATGATATCGATTGGCTAAAAAGACACCAAGCATTAAGTACTTCATTCTTAGTTCAATACACCAACAATCCCAATCAAAACATCAATAAAGTGTTCATTTTGCACATTAATAAACAATCATCCCTAAACCTAGCTAGGAAACTAAT